ATGTAAACATTCGCACTTAACAGTAATATAACATGTGGTAAATGTTGTCACAAATAACGCTATATTAAGGGATACGTAATGTTTAATAAATAATGAGTTTTTATATTGAATGCTATGACTAACCCAAAGGGTCTACAAATGGGGTAAAATAATATGCTAATAATATATCACGTTATTAATGAACGATATGTAATATTGTGATGTAATTGATTGAAAAGTTAGCTTAATAATTTAGCTTAAAATTTATTAGTTTTAATTGAATGTTCAAGTTTAATTAAAAGTAATTTAATCTAATTAATATCAATCTATCTAATAATTTAGATACTGTATTATCTATCCCATTGTGGAAAAATAATTACGCTTAAATAAACTTTAAACTAGAATATTTTATTTAATTATTAATTTATAATTTATACAATGATATTTGATGAATTAAAAACAACATGATTGATTAATGATACAATAGTTTTAAACGTGATAAACATTTGCTTATAACTTAATTCAAACATAATTTAAATTGATTTAAAATCAAATTTTAATTTTTTTTATAATTCATATATAATTTGTAATTATTTTATAATATTCCTTTAAAATTAAATCAACATGTTATATTATAGTGAACACACATTTTGTCACTTACACAATTGCAAACACAAATAGTTATAACAATTATCATAATAAAATAAATAACTATTTTTATACAAATAAATAACTAGTTTAACAATAGATAAATAACAGAATATTTTCTAAAATTCAAAAATATATAACAAAATGTCATAAAATATTAAAACAATTCTAAAAATTTAGAAATATTTTACAACAAAATTCTTAAATATTATTTAAAATTCTCTAATATCTGACCAAAAAAACACAAAACAATTCCTAACTATAATAATAATAAAAACGAATAAAACACAAAAACATTTGCAACACTAACAATAGGGTCGGGCCATAACAGCCACCGGCGCTCAGATAACCACCGGTGCCGACGGCCACACCCGATGAGGACATCTTAAGCACCAATTCGGGCGTATAGTTATGATAACCGCCGTTATTATGGGGGTCGCACCGGGCGTACCGGCTCTCGTCCAGCGACCACACATTCACCACAGACACAGCACCGGCACCGGCAGTAGTGTTACCATCTGTCACAGCCACCCCACTGGCACCCATACCACCCCCATTATCACCCACACAATGGCCATTCACTAACTGTTTCCTATAGAGCTCAGGCTCCCGGATAAGCCACGCTATACGGCAATCGCACCTTAACGGATTGCCAGCCAGGTCAATCACGTTGCGTGGATCGGTGTTTAGCAGGGGCTCAAACACAGCCCTGGCCACCGATTGCCACCCATTATGGCCGAGCAGTAGTCGCACCGGGCGTTTAGTGTCCATAAAACAGTCCGACTCGACGCTAGACTCGGGCATCCGATTGTGCTGTAGGTCGACGTGCAGTACGTGATTGGCGGGCCATTCAAAGTCAAACGCGTGGGCCTCGACACGGCTCAGGCGGTCGGCCCGTACGGTGACCCACCGCAGGGCGTGCAGCTCGTAAAAGGCATAGTTAGGTACGGTGTGTAGACGGGGCGCCCGGAGCCAGAATCGTTCAAACTTGGCCTGTTTTGCGCCCGAAATGGGCGTCACAAACGCGTAGGAGGGGAACGATCGGAGGGCCGGCAGCTCGAGGCTAACCTCCCGGATGTTCGCCAAACTGCTCAGGGCGTCAAACAGTTGGTTGACGTACTGCTGGGCGCCCAGTCGATTGGGCCCCTGGACGGTGAATGTGCGCACCTGACCCCCCGTGCGATTGAACGCGTTGCTGGCTATCCGCGTGAGGGCCCGGGCGTTGTCGATAGTGATGTTGTGAAACGATATGTCGCCCAATAGGTTGGACTCCCAGTCCTCGATCGCCGGGTTGTTGAACAATAGGGTCCGGAATTGTCGCTCGGGTTGGGGTCTGTCGGCCATGTGTTCGCTCAGGGCGTGAAACACGTGCCGTAGGCTGTATTTGATGGGCGATGGGCCGCACTCGATGGTATGGGTGTCCGCGTGACAGTGGCACGGGTGAAGCACCCGGGTGGATTGCGGGCACCGACCTGCCAGTGTTTGGCTTATGAGTGTCAATAGTATGAGTAAACACATGTGTCCAGTGATTAGGATTCTGGCGACGATTCCTGCGGTTTGTCACAGAATTTTTGTTATTAATTTGTTTTTAGTATTGTTTTGTTGTGTAAATTGCGAAATGATTTTGAAATAAAACATGTGTAAGTGAGTGATGAGAGAGAGAGAGAGAGAGAGAGAGAGAGAGAGCGTCAAACTGAATGGCATACCGTATTCATTAAAATCGATGGTATGTTTCTCTCTCATGTAAAACGGATCCAAACGTTTAATGTGATACTCTTTGGCATAATTGATGAGACAATCGATCAATTTGTTCATGTCTTGAGTGTTGTCGTGACCGTTATCTTGTGTGCTGACAGTCATGATGTGGTCAGTGCTGTGGAAGGGGTGGGTGTGATGTGTGTGAAGGTGTCTGTCTGTTCGTCCCCTCAGGAGGAATGGTATCACAAGAGACAACGGGATTATCTCATCTCCAGAGATATTATTATTACAGCGAAATACCGGTGCGTTTGGGTTTGAGATGAGTTGTCAGACATTGAAAATAACTGCAAAACACAATAAAAAATAAAAGTTTTATTTTAAATAATAATTATATTTATTGAAATGTAAAACTCAAACACACATTACATTTATGCAAACAATTTGTGTTATTTTGTTATTATTGTAAACTTGTGTTAATTTATATCGCTATAATTATAACATGGGTATTTTTTACAGTACAACACACATTATAGTTTAGTTAACCACTCGCTATAATAAACATATCGGTAAATATTGAAATAAAATTTTATGTTACCATGATTTTATAATCAAAAAATTTACATTGTTCACTTTCACTCTACATGTTATACACAGTGCAATTCTGTACACTATTAGCGAGTTTTATCACAACTATATCTCACCATAAGTACACTGTAATAACAGAAACACTTGTGGTTTATCACTAGAAAAATAATTAAATACCATAAATAAAATAATGATAAGTTTTATGAGATATTCACTAAACTATTTTCGCTATAACAACATGATAACGATGTGTACGAATAGGGTGTGTATAATGCACAATGAGTTGCTATGGTAAAACATGTAGTTAATTAATTAATACCAGCTATCAACTTTAAATATAGTTTTAAAAATCACTATGGTAGTTTGGATTAACACTTACCATATGTGTGCTGTTATTAAATGACTTCAATGGTTCACTATATCTAGAATAAACTGTTTTTACCATATATGCAAAAGTGGTTGTTTGGTGGTTGACCTGGAAATATACCGTATGGTTAACGCCTTGCGTTACGCACCGGTATTTGGGGGCGAAATGAGTGTAAAATTACATCAAATGTATATTTAATTGAATTTTAAATGTATAATTATTTTTGCAATATTTTTATTCACTGTTTAAAATTTCTAAATATTTAGGATATATTAAACTTGCTCAAACTTTTATTTATTTAATAATTATTAATAGCAGAATGTTTTATTGTGATTCTATTTTAGCTAGCACACTAAATAACTTTGGATAAATTTGAATGTACAATAATAATATGAATAAAACAAATTAAACAATGTAGACACACAAATATGACACAATTTTAATGTATTAAGTCATTAGTGATAGTATTGTTAAAATATGTTTTGTCATGATCATAATTACCTCTCTGTTTGTAAATTTTTAAAAAACATGTGAGAGAGGGAGAGAGAGAGAGAGAGCGTCAAACTGAATGGTAT